TCGAACCATGTCCTTTTGTTTATTGCGCGAATAGTGCTGGACTATTGCTAATTTTTGTTCTTCCGAACTAGGCGCGAATAGTGCTGGACTATTGCTAATTTTCTGTTCTTTCGAACTGGGCGCGAATAGTGCTGGACTATTGCTAAGTTTTGTTCTTTCGAACCATGTCCTTTTGTTTATTGCGCGAATAGTGCTGGACTATTGCTAATTTTTGTTCTTTCGAACCATGTCCTTTTATTTATTGCGCTAATGCGCTGTTACAAACGTGGTACACGTTAACCGGCACGATGGTATTTTCTTAGATTCTGCGCGTTCCATGTTCTTGGAATCTTGTTGCCCCCCAATTCGCTGAGTTTGAATGTGTTGGCGCCCACCACTTCGCGGATTAAGTAAGGACCTTCCCACGTCGAGGCGAGCTTCCCGTGCCTGGGGTCGGGGCGGAAGTTCCGCCGCAATACTTGGTCGCCCAGGATCAACTTGTGGGGGACCAGCTTCGCGTTGTGGTACTTGGCTACCTGCTCTTTCATTGCAGCTAGCCTGATGGCCGCCAACTCGCGCCTTTCTTGTGACAATTCGAGCTCTAGTAGGCGCGCCTCGTCGTTTGCTTCCTCGTTGTACCCGGTGATTCGGTAGGTCGGTGTTGTTGTCTCGATGGGGATCACCGCGTCAGTGCCATACGTGAGGGCGAAGGGGGTTTCGCCCGTTGCCACTTTGTATGTAGTGCGGTGCGCCCATAGCACCGTGTGGAGCTCGTCCGCCCAATTGCCCTTGGCCTCATTCAGGCGAGTGTGGAGGCCATGTAGGATCGCTTTATTGGAGGACTCTGCTTGGCCGTTGGCTTGGGGATAAGCGACGGACGCGAATCTTGCAATGGTCCCCACCTCGTCGCAGAAGTCTATCACGTCTGCGCAATCGAATTACTTCCCATGGTCGAAGATGAGTGCATTTGGGACCCCGAAGCGCGACAAAATTTTGTTGCGCAAGAAACGCGTTACCTGTTGCGCCGTCATGGATGCCAGCGCCTCGGCCTCGATCCACTTAGTGAAGTAATCCACTGCCACGATTATGTATTTGCGCTTCCCTTTTGCTGTCGGGAAAGGGCCCAAGAGATCGACTCCCCATTGCGCGAAAGGCCATGGGCTTAAGTTGCCTTGGAGCTCGGTGGCCGGCAAGTGGTGTTGGCGCGCGTTGACCTGGCATTTGTGGCATTGGTCCGCGTAATTTTTCGTATCCTTCTTGATCCTCGGCCAGTAGTAGCCATGCAGTAGGATGGTGCGCTCCATGCTGCGTGGCCCTGCGTGCATTGCACACAGCCCCTCATGTAGTTCGCGTACTAAGTCGCGCGCCTCCTCTTGCCCGATGCATTTGAGGTAGACGCCCGAGTATGACCTTCGGAACAGGTTCCCTTCGATGAGTGTGCAACGAGCTGCCTTTTGCCTTAGCGCCCAAGCTTGCTTAGGGTCTTCCGGTACTGTCCCACCTTGGAGGTACTCCACAATTGGGTGTCTCCAGTCTTCGTTTGTCATGAGCTGTGTTGTGTTGACTGCTGCTTCCGAAGGGGTATCTTCCTCTTCCTTTTGAACGGACACGAGCCGCGTGGACTCGAAGTCGGTAGCCGTCGCCAGTTTGGATAATGCGTCAGCGTGCGCATTCTCCTCCCTTGGGATCTGCGCATACGTTACTGCTTCGAATGCTGTGGCTCTCATTTTGACGCGTTCCATGTAGTGCGCCAGTGCGTCCTCCTTTGCGTCGAACGCGCCGTTCAGCTGGTTGACCGCCAAGGAGGAGTCGGATAGTATCCGTATCGCTCTTGCCCCCAGGTCATGAGCGGCTGTCATCCCTGCCAAGATGGCCTCGTATTCCGCGGCGTTGTTTGTTTTCAACGCTCGGAACCTGATTGCGATCTCGTGCACCACGCCAGCAGGAGTGCGCACCACGACCCCTGCCCCGGCGCCGTGTTTGCTCGCCGCTCCATCGACGTAGATTTCCCAGACGCCCTCCGGCGTTGTTTCGAGGGTTACCCCCTCTGCAATGAAGTCTGCGAGGATTTGTGCCTTTATTGCTGGCCTTGGCGCGTACTGAATGTCGTACTCTGACAGCTCGACCGCCCATTTGACCATGCGCCCCGACACTTCCATTGATGTCAGAATCTTTTTTAGCGGGAGGTTTGTCAGGACGGTGATCTGGTGCGCTTGGAAGTACGGGCGCAGCTTCTGCGAAGCGCTCACGAGTGCCAAGGCAGCCTTCTCGATCGAGGAATATCTTGTTTCTGCGCTGACAAGAGTGCGCGAAGTGTAATACACTGGTTGCTCGGTTCTGCCGTCTCTTCGAGATATTAGTACTGCGCTCACGGCCCTCGTTGACACAGCGAGATACAAGAAAAGTTTTTCATTAAGCTTGGGGGCCGTTAGTACAGGGGGGGATACAAGATACGCCTTTAGCTCTTGGAACGCTGCTTCGCATTCTGTTGTCCATGCGAAGCGCGCCCCGTTCTTGAGCGTTTGGAAGAAGGGCGCGCACTTGTCAGCAGATCGCGGTATGAACCTCCCCAGCGCCGCTATTTTGCCATTCAGAGACTGGATTTCCAGCGCGTTCCGAGGCGCCCGCAGCTGTTGGACTGCGGTGATTTGCTTTGGGTCAACCTCTATGCCACGCTTAGTTATCATGAACCCGAGGAACTTCCCCGCTTCCGCTCCAAAAACGCACTTGAGTGGGTTGAGGCGAAGGCTGTGTTGACGGAGAGCTTCGAAAGTCTCGCGTAGGTCCTGCAGGTGTGACTTGCCCGCCTTCGTTTTGACGATGAGGTCGTCTACATATGCCTCGATGTTCCGCCCGATCTGTCGCGAGAAGAACGTGTCAATCATTCTCTGATATGTTGCGCCCGCGTTTTTTAACCCGAACGGCATCCCCACAAAGCAGAAGTTCCCAAACGGTGTAGAAAGTTCTCAGGCTTTCTCCATCTTTTTGCCTGATATCTATCAGGGCCTTGAGGTGAAGTGGGCGCCGTTTCTGGGACGCGAACTTTGTTGTGAACAGGAGTATGAACTCCTCGAATGAGTGGATGACTCCATTTGGGAGGCGGTTGTACCAGACGAGGCATATGCCGGTGAATGTCGACGGGAAGGTTCTGCATAGCGCGGCGTTGGAGTTGGTTTGGAGTTGCATACGCAAGCAGAAGGTGCTTACATGGTCTTCCGGGTCGGTCGTGCCGTTGTACGTCGGGAGGGCGGGCGTCGCCCCTGTTAGGTTCTCCGCCATTATCTGCGCGCTCAACGGCTGGTGAAGGACTCTTTTGGGCGGGTTGGGTCGGTACTGCGGAGACAGGTGTTGCTCTAAGAAGCTGAGGTCCGCCCGCTCCGGTGGTTCGATTCCCGGCGCTTCGCACGCGGGGAGTTCCGTCGGCGCGTGTTGGGGTAGCTGGGCTGTCCCCGACGTTTCTCCCAAGGCTTGCTGAGGCGCTACCGCCAAGGCTCGTTGAGGCGCGTCCGCCACCGCGCCTGTCGTTGGCACGCTCTCCCTGCTCATCATGAGCGCGATAACTTGGCTCATTTGTTTCTGCATGTCGGCTATGACGTTGTTTTGCTTCCTCACTAGATCCCTCATTTCTTTGGCCGTCAGCTCGGGCTCTTCTTCTTCAATGAGCACGGCGTTGAGGTTGCTGGCTTCCGCGAACGCCCTCGGGTCAGTCATTGCCTTGATCGGCGTTGCTTGGTCAGGTTGGTCGTGGTTGTGCTCTGCCATCGGGGGATTTTCTTTAGCGTTTCTTCTTGGCCCCACGGTGGGCGCCAATTGTTTGAACCTAACTGAGGGTAGGAGTGAGGTTCGTGTGAGAGTTTGGGTCAAGAAGAAACGCCAGCGTCGAGTTTGATCAGGGAGATAAGAATTAGAGAGTTGAGTGAGAACCGGAGTTTGAACTTTTAGAAAGAGAAGTGATTGTTATAGAGAGAGAATGGTGAAAATGCGATCCCCCTCACCCACCGTAGTAAATGCCGTATTTATAGGCTTCGTTGTGGTGGGTGAGTGGTTGACCCAAGTGGGGATACAAGATGTGACTATTGAGATACCATGATGTGACCACTGGCACACACTAAGGATTTTAGGCCCTGTCCAGGCCATCCCTCTACCTAGGACGTGTCAGAGACCTGCCACTGGCCCTGATGTGACTACTTCTGGGGGAGGAAAGCTACGCTCCCCTCCTCCCTTGGCTCGGCCTGCGCTATGCTCTTCCTCGGCGCCTGTAACTCACATCGCGCCTGAACTCTTCGCGCCAGGACGTGGTGGACTACGATGAGGTGTTGCGCTCGGGGTCTTCGCGCTGCCATGTCAGAGTCCTTCCAGTTGCGCCCGTTCCTTGACGTGGCTAGGCCCGAGTCACATGCCCAACATGACTTATGATACTTTTGTGACATTTGTATCCTGACACTTTCGTTGACCGATAAAGATAATTGTTGACCAGACAGTGGTCAAAGCGATATTAACTTTCGTTGATGTGGCAAAAATTAAACAGCCACATAGATGTCACGCCATTACCACATCAGATTATTCTAAATTTACAATTAAATTAAAATAGGAAAACTAATATTATATAAGAATAAATCAAAACAAAAATTAAACCTGCTCTTTTCGTCATCTTCTTCTACCGGAAAACCCCTTCAATTAAAATCAAAACCAAATTAAACAAGAGAAAGTGTTTCCTAATTCAAGCCGCCAAACCGACGGATGAATTATAGCTCAATAGACAGGCTTGAACCGTGCAGATTTGGCTGAACCCTAGAGCTGGCAATTTATTCATGAATCCAGTCCAATAAATCTACTAAAATACCCAATTAATTCATTTCATTTAAATTCAATTCATTTATTCAAATCCAATTGTTGGGTGGATATATGAATCCAAATAATAAATTATAGTTTAGTACCTATATTTTTTATATTTTACAATTTGGTACCTAAAATTTATTTTTTATGAAAATATCATTGGAAAATTACATTTTGATACATATTTTTTTTTTTCCGTTATGACATTTTAGAGAAACTGTTTTCCTGATTCAATCCCCCAAACCAACGGATCAAGATAATCTCATCATTCAGCAGTGTTGATTGCGTCTTCCGGTAGTTCCCCTATTACAAACCCTCTCCCCTCTCGTCCTGTCCTCGAACCATCTCAGTGAATGAAGCACGACCTCCTCCATTCTCTTCCTCGCCAAATTCGGTGAACCGTCGAGCTTCGAAGGATTCGATCGAATTGATGAATCTGCTGATGAGGAATCCTTGGCTTTGCTGATGAGGAAGAAATGGGTTTGCTGATGAGGAATCCTTGGGTTTGCAGGAAGTGAATATGAACAGGAAGGCAGAAACTAGGGATACATTGCCATTGGAAGAAGTAAACCTCAGTACTCACTCAGTAGGCCTCAAGACTAAACATAAAGAGCTCTCAACGAAAGCAAACATATTTCCTTTTTTCTTTACAGTCACGTTTCCTTATAGACTAGAACGTTTCCTGCTTCCTTCTCTTTTTTACACCCCTACCTGAAACTCCGTACATATTGATTCGCCGTTATGTCCTCTCCATATAAGGTGGCGGTTGTTCTTGTTGGGATGGCAATCAGCTCAGCTTTCGACCGTATGTATAGACAGACAGACGACCCTTACAACTACAAAATGTACAGTTTCTCGCTCTCGCTATCCTCGCTCACCGATACAACGCTACAACTTTATTAACTTCAATCATCATCATCACCACCAAAGAAGATGCCAAGAAGCTCACACTAGCCTCAGTTAGCTGTACAGACAAAGGAGTTCCCACTCTTTAGCGTTTTTTCTTTCCCTTCTTAGCTCGACACCGCCCCCTGTGGGGGATGCAGAGACTGTGCAGCGATTCTCCTTTCTGCAACCACGGGAAATTGAAGCAGTTATGATCAAGGTAGTCAGACGACAAGAGGAAGAAAGAGTTGCAGTTTTTTCTTTCTGAGTTTATAGTTTACCTCCAGCAGCAAGAAGTTTCTCAACGCGAGCAACAATGTGCTTCCCATACGTATACTTCTTCAGTGCATTGAGATGGATTTTGATTCGTGTCATGATCAGCTCGCGCTGCTGATCGTCACAAGTCTCCAGCACCTTCTGTACCACGTAGTTTGCAAACTGGTCTTTCATCATAGCCTAGGAGAAACAGGAAGAGAGACAAATAAGCACATTGCCTGCCTTTTTTATACTTGTAATGTATTTATATATGCAAGGGAAGGAGGAAGAGGAAGGAAAATTTTCCCAAACCTGAAGAGGCTCGTTCTCATCTGTAGTGCCCAGCATCTCATTCACCAGCAGCTGCCGTTCATCAGGACCGCCAAATGCCAGGCACTTCTCGACAACATTCGATGCAAACTTTTGCTGACTCATCTGGACTATGTTCCCGGCTAACTCCTTAATGATAGCAGTTCGTTCATGCGGCTTTCCATGCTCCAGTACATGCTGTTCAACCGACCAAAAACAAAGGCCAGAGTTATAACATATGTAGATGGGGAAGAAAGCTTCCGTCAGTAGAGGGAAGATTCTTTTGAAATGACTCAGAACCAGCATTTAAATAGCTATGCAAGGCAAGATTCAATTATCCATGTCCTACAACGCCATGGACAGGAGAACAATTTAGATGTATTCCTGCTAGTTGCAAGAGAGCATGGCAAATAAGGTCCAGAGGCACAGCCGCTGGCAGCTTTGAATTTATAGTGCGCATTTGTTTAATGATAACAAAATTAGTACGAAAAGAGGGGGGAGGGGGGACATGAATAGTGTTTCTATCTGTTAAATGAAAGAAGTGTGTTTGTATCAACTTTGAAATCGATATTTTTCTATGCCGAAATGAACACATACATAGTACATAACTACAGAAAACCCAAAAAAAAATAATGAACGACAATGCAAATGAAACAAAAATCCCAAGAGATTTGTGATCTTCAACAGAAAAATTTTGGGCTAAAGATCACAAACCTGAACAACATAATTGCCATACTGATCTTGGGCTAGCATGCTGACAGCTCCCAGGATCTCATCCATGACTTTACTCTGCGTGTTTGGGTCCTCACAATGTTCCAGAATCCTCTGGACATCATAAACACATGTTATGTACATGTCTCCAAGATGTTCTCCATAGTAGCAAAACAAACAAGACAAGTAATTTTCTTTAAACCTGTATCACACGGCAACCATAAGGATGGGTGGAGAGGGTCACTACTTGATCATAGAATGTTGTGACTATAAACTGGATGTTATCCTCAGGAACACATTCAATACACTTTTGGATGACATGGTTTCCATTCTGATCACGGACACAGCGCATAACTTGACCCTCAAGCTCTCCAACCATTTTGATCTTCTGGTCCAGGTCAACAACCTCAATTGCCTGAATGAGGAACAAGTGATTAGAGTCAGTATAGTAAATTAGACATCCATCTTTTCAACCCTTAGTCAATTTATTTATTTATTATGGTTCAACTGAGAAGATCACCACTAAACACATCATGAAACTAAAAAAAATAAAGGACTTCAAAATTGGAAATGCTAATGCTGAATGATATACTATTCTCCTTAATTTTTCTCGGTACTAAACTGATTCCGTCTACCAAGAAAGAAGAAGTAAAGCATTATTACGATACTGAGCAAACAACCACTCATCACAGCTATACCTTCTGAATCACCCGGCATCCATACATTTGAAGACTAAGCGTCAAAACATGACCGAGTAACTTGGCAGCTAGTTCCCTTCTCTGTGACTGCAGCCCATGCTCAAAAAACTGCAAAAGAAGCAATCCAAATGTTACCATAGTTAGAACTAGAAAGCACTCGCGAAACAGAAAATTTAGGAAACGAATGAACTTGGGGTCAATTACCTTTTGGATAACATAATTACCAAACACATCAGTCATCAGAGCAAGAGCTTGCGGCATGATTTCCTCATACACCATGTTCTTCTCATCTATTGTGGCTGTCTCTAGCTTTTGTTGGATGAATCGGCTCCCGTATTGATCAGCACTGCTCATAAAAAGGTATTCGAAGTTGCATAAGCCAATAGAGTGGAAAACAATGATAGAAGAAGACTAACTTGGTTTTAGACTAAAGATTACCTGAACTCAACAACATGACCTGCAATTTCTGAAAGTTCCAAACACTTGGTTTTATTACTCTTGAACTCTTCTAGAAGTGAGGATGCAAAGCTTTCGTCCACCCCTCCATCTAAGTGCCATGGACCCATTATACCACCACCACCCAAGCTCCTCATACCAGAAGCAAACCTCATATTCAGATCATTGTGTCTAATTGGACTACCTGGCCCAACAGGGGAGTTCGGAATAACAGGACTTGCAAGAGGACTCCCAGGATATGACATGCCACCAACACCATAACCATGACCTCCATAGTAGTTATGGAGATTAGAACTGCCAGATTTACCACCCACAGGGCCGCCATACTGTGATTTGTGTGGGGACAGCATAGCTCCAGCATAGGCAGCTTTTTGGAATTCAAGTAAATTCATATAGGAGTTGCCCAAATAGTTCCCTTCACCAGTGGGATCATTGTAAGCAGCAAGTTGGGCTGCAGCAGCATATTCAGGAGTCCTCAGGTACTGTAGATACAAAGGATCAACATATGGTGACTGAGGGGAACTTCCACTAATAGGGCTCCCCAATCTTCCAAGATTGCGTGATTCAGGATTCGCACCTGTGAGACCTACTCCGGATCCCATACCTCCTCCAAGGACCCTTGAATCCAGACCAGGGACACCCATGGCTGATGCTGCTGCAACATTTTCGAATAACGGTGGGAGATTTCCAGAGCCAAGTTGACCAGCAGCCATCACAGAAGCCAAAGCTGGGTTAACAGAATACCCACCCATTCCATAGTTCAGAAGTGATGAGTTCATGCTATCCATATGTTGGTAAGTGTGCAAGCCACTTCGGCTATTATGAGTTGTTGGAGGTGACCCATTAAGATAAGAATTATTACCACGACGATCACCTGACTTTTGCATGTCGACATGCCTATCCCCAAAGGATGAGTCGTTGAGGTCTGACCTACCACCATTGCTCTTGCCTAAACCTGCATATGACATCTTTCCAGCTTGAGAAACAGAAGGCATTTGATAATGCCCAGAGTCCGAGTTCTGAAAATAAGCATTCTGATTCTTCAAGTGGTTCTGACCTCCTTGGAGACCAAATAAATAGTTCTGGTGGTGGTTATCAGCACCCTGCCCCATCTGGGATGGAAATTGGTTTTCTTCTTCTACACCATTACTTAAGTTCATACCAGTTAAAGCAGCAACAAGATCTTCAGACTCATTGATGCTGGTGGGGATGCCATTAAATGAGTTAGAGCTAGTAGCCCCTCTCTTTTCAGATGCAGAATTCCTCCCTTGCCCTATGGGTGTAGGACAAGGACTGGGAGCCCTAGCTACAAGTTGAGCATCAGGAGTGTTACTCCTAGACAAAGAGGAACCAAGAGCAGCTGCATAAGAGTAAGACGAAGCTTGACCAACACTTGTTACAGCAGAAGAACCTTGGCCATTGACACCTGACCTTACAGGATCTGTAGAAGACAACTCACGCCGCAAGTGAGCTAGCTCATCTTCAGCTGCATTCATGCTATCTACATTTTCACCAAACGCATTGCGACTAGAAGGGCGAGAAGGATGGCCAACAATAGGAGTTACCCGATCCATGTCACCCTACACATTTGCAAGAACACCCCCAAACAATTAGAATAATACAAGGGTAAACAACAAATACACAGCAAGGTGAGAAACATTAGGAACACATTCCTTCTGAAGGAGCAATACAATATAGCAACTCTGACAGACATTTAACAGCCAGTACCTTCAAAATGTTGCAAATAACCACTCAATTAGCACACAAACAATATTAGAGTTCACAAGAAAGAAACAGTGACAAGATTTTCTCATTCATAATCCGTATTTACATCCTGCACCTCAAAACTGGCTACAGATAAAAGAATGCACATAGAAGAAATCAGAACAGTTAACTCATCAGCATCACAAATCATCTTCGCGGCACCTCAACAAAAGCAATACAGGAAAAGGAAAGCAAACAACGTGGTACACTACATAAAAACGCTTCCCCAAACTAGAATACTTTGGAAATGCATAACCATTGCAAATTCAAATGAAAACAAGAACATGTAAATTGCACAATGCGCAGCTCATGAAAATCAATCAATTACAGCCCATGTACCATCAAAAAATATATCAGAAGCAATTTCAAGGGCAGTCGAATGACTGAGTGCACCAGGCAATTAAGATATAATCAATCACCTGAAAGATTACAGCAAGACTCTTCTGTTTAGTCCCAAGCCCTAACCCTGGTAAACCTATCAGTCCATCCCCACCCCATTCACTAGAGGAGTTGTGAACCTTCTCCTGCTCGCTGTCATTCTCCGGCTTCCTCGAATCAAAACCAGGTGGCATAGCAAACAATGACCTCCCACTCCCATTATCTGCCCTACTCGCTTTCCTCCTATCTCCAATCCCACCTACAACGGAACTCCCTCCTCCTTTCATTCTCTGAGCAAACCTCCAATCTTCCTTTGATATCAAAGGAGGGGGCAGCCTAGGGTTCAAATTCACGTTTGAGTAATAGTAAGCTGAATAAGCTGGGTCAGACCTAAGCTCCTCCTCATTCATAAAGCCATTTTTACCACTAGCGAAGTCCGAAAAGGCAGCGGAGGCGGCTCCTCCTGCACCGGCTCCTACTCCACCGTGAGGCAGCGCCGAACTACCCAGCAACCCGCCGACGGCGTTGAGCGAACCCTCAACAGTGGGTGGAGCAGACCCACTTCTATACAAATTGAGCTCCCTCTCAAGATCATCGGCTTCCTGTCTAGTGCGCTGCTCACGGAGCAACAACCCTATTTCCTTCTCTAAATCATCACCGAATGATCCATCACTAGCTCCTATCATCGGTCTCCTTCCCAATTCAGATAACATGGTTTTTCAAATTCCAGAATTGATAATTTACCCACTTAGAGCGAACCTCGGAAATGATCAACACCCGCGAAACGAAACAAAATCAAAACTTTCCACCGGAGCTAAACCCCCATATATACTGGTTCAAAGACTGCAACTTTCGGGGGTTTTGTAACAAAAAAGCATGAGGGGAGAAAGAACAGCAACCTAAGACGAGAAAATGAAGCCAAAAATCAAAACTTTTCCATCACCTACACTGAAATGATGATAAAACTAATTATCAACCATCCTAACCTACCAAACCCCTCAAATAAAAGAAAACATTTCTTTATAATTCAAAACCCCAAGAAAATAAGAGAGGAATCCGAAACAGGGGAGGGTTTATTATTCTCTTCCACGGCCAAATTCACAACCCAAAGCAGACAACTTTGGAGACCTTGCCCCGTAGAAAAGCACCAGCTACAGCCAGCAGCCAAAACATGGGAAAAGAGCAAGAACCCAGCAAGCAACAGAATCAGAGGAAGTGGGTTGCTTGGCTTTCCGAGTGAAAACAATTTTCTGGGAGGAACAGAGTGAAGAAAGCAAGCAAAGCAAAGGGGGAAGGAAGGAAGAATGAGAGAGAGAGGGGTGGTTTGACGGCTGAGATCAATCTGGCGGCGATTGGTTCTTACAAGTAGGGGTGTGCAACGGTTCGGTTCGGTCCGGACCGGACCAAATTCATGAGAACCGCGGTCCATTAGTGAAAGACATGTTAGGACCAAGGACCGGACCATTCTTGCATTTGGTCCATTTGGTCCGGTTCGGTCCGGTCCAAATATGAGCTCGGTCCACCGTTTCTTCAGTAATTATAAAAATCAAAAGGACCAAGGACCGGACCGCATTTTACTCGGTCTGGTCCGGTCCGGTCTTAACAACGGTTTGGTCCGGTGTGGTCCGGTACGGACCGGACCATTGCACACCCCTACTTACAAGAACCCTTAGGGTTTTGTTCCATGTCAAAGAGGGATTAAATACAGTTAGATAGGACTAGGAGAGAGCAGTAGTAAAAACCCTTCCCCCACCATTTTCTGTGGGTTTCTCCTTTTTCTTCTGCTCCCCCTCCTATTCCTTTTTAATAAAATGTATTATTCTAAAATATTTGGCTGAACTGGAGTCGGAGGAACACAAAAGCAAAAGGCTGGAAGAAAAAATGATCCGAGTTTCCTCCACTGGCAATCATGAATGCAGATAATTAAAGAAGAAAGGCCTAAAAAGTAAAGCATAAATTGAGCAAGTGACAACCGACTAGTGTATTGGCTGTGGCCTGGGGGTTTCGGACGGTACAAAGTTGCTAGAAACTGCAAACCAAACTAACGCCCGGCCTGATTGATGGTGGGAAGATGGATAATGATGTGTGTTTGGTGTTTTGGACTCGGGTGCGTGTTCTTGTTCAGTTGTTCCCCATTGAGCAGGAATCTGGAGCTGACACGTCGACCGCCCTCCCCTTTCCCATTCCGTCCTTTCCCCTGCACTAGACTAGATTCGCTTCTGGTGAACCATTCTTTATGCTAGCTTCCAAGTTCCATACTCTTACAGAGCATTAGAACATGTTGCTTGGATTTCTGTATGTATAAGGGTCACCGTAAATGTTATCCATAATTTAGAAGTGCGGGGGCGAAGGAGGGAGTTGGAGGATAAGGTGGAGCAAGGAAGGGAAAAGGAAAAGAGCATCGCTGCTGGTGGCGAGTGTGACGGCGGAGCCGCCGGAGGAGGAGAAGCAAGCGCTCCTCTCTTTTCTCTCACAGGTCCCACACGAGAATCGTCTCCAATGGAGCTCCAACAACAAATCCTCCGTCTGCAGCTGGGTCGGAATCGAGTGCGACGCGGACCAGTCCTCCGTACACTCCCTCCGCCTCCCCGGCGCCGGCCTGGTGGGTCCCATTCCGCCGCAAACCCTGGGCAGGCTCTCGCAGCTCAGAGTCCTCAGCCTCCGCTCCAACCGCCTCTCCGGCGAGATCCCGTCCGATTTCTCCAACCTCACTCTCCTCCGCAGCCTCTACCTTCAAAACAACGCCTTCTCCGGCGGTTTCCCCGCGGGAGTCACTCCGCTAGCCCGGCTCACCCGGCTCGACCTCTCGTCCAACAACTTCACCGGCCCGATTCCGTTCGCCGTCAACAATTGGACCCGCCTAACCGGCCTGTTCCTCGAGAACAACGCATTCTCCGGCCCTCTCCCTTCCATCTCAGCCAAGTTGGTCGATTTCAACGCCTCCAACAACAGGCTCAACGGCTCAATCCCTAGAAATTTGCAGCGTTTCTCCGCCGCGGCATTCGCCGGGAATCTAGGTCTCTGCGGCGGGCCGTTACCTCCCTGCAACCCCTTCTTCCCTTCCCCTACCCCATCCCCTTCCACAATTCAACCAATCCACAAGAAATCGAAAAAACTCTCCACCGCCGCCATCGTTCTAATCTCCGTCGGCGCAGTCCTCGCCCTCCTAATCCTCCTCCTCCTACTCTTCTGCTGCCTCCGCAGGAAGCAGAGACAACAACAACAACAACAGTCCCCCAAACCGCCGAAGCCGGTCCCCGGGGCCGCCGCCCGGTCCGTCCCCGTCGACGCCGCCGGGACCTCCTCGTCCAAAGACGACATCACCGGCGGGTCGGCCGACGTCGAGAGGAACAAGCTGGTGTTCTTCGACGGAGGAGTCTACAGCTTCGACCTCGAGGATCTGCTGAGAGCTTCGGCGGAGGTCCTCGGGAAGGGCAGCGTCGGCACGTCGTACAAGGCCGTGCTGGAAGACGGCACCACCGTCGTCGTCAAGCGGCTGAAGGACGTGGTGGTTACGAAGAAGGAATTCGAGATGCAAATGGAGGTTCTGGGGAAAGTTAGGCACGACAATGTGGTTCCGTTCAGGGCTTTCTACTTCTCCAGAGACGAGAAGCTGCTCGTCTCCGAGTACGTGGCCGCCGGCAGCTTGTCGGCGCTCCTCCACGGTTCTCCGGTCAATCTCCGTCTCCGAGGAAATCGGTAGCCGATCACGATGGATGCCCGGTGAACCGTTATAGCCATTAATGATATTAATGGCAATTATTCCGCTGGGTATTATCCCCATTATTGGAGGTTTCAAGGCTGTCTTTAAGCCTGTAAAGCGTACCTGTAGGGGCGCAATTAGGGCTTTTGTTAGCCCAAATCAAAATTCAATTGATCATGAATCATTAAATGGCTATTATGGAGTCACGGGCTCGGCCATAACCCCTAGAAACGGCCCGATAATTGAAATTGGCTTTAATTCTCTTTTAATTGGCTCCGGTGACTTTGTTGGTCCGGTGGTCCATGCAATCAATTTTCCTCCGGCGAGAAGTAAATAACCAATTAATGGCCTCATTGGTCCATTTATTTGGGTTTTAATACATCAGTTATTTTATTTGATGTTATTGGGTCCTTAATGATCCGTTACAAGTGATTAGTGAGTCACTAAAGCGGTCCTTTTATGGCGCTTTACAACCTTTATGGTTGGTTTATATATCAAATTATGGGATAGAAAGAATTAACTTCTGACGGTCATAATTAATTTTTGACTTTTAGAATTAATTAATATATGGTTTTCAAAGTACCAGAGGAGTAAACTGTCTAGTTCGCTGCCCGGTTTGCTGGAGAAGACCGGAAAGTCTTGAACATCTGTTCTTCAAATGCCCCTTGGCCACAAGATTGTGGTCGCTCATGGGTCTAAATGATTTCATCTCCTCGGCCCCGACTGTGAATTTCAGTCTCTGGTGGCGACATGTTATGCTTTCTGAGCACCCCCAAACCCACATTCTCCTATACGTTTGTATATTATGGAGGATCTGGAAGTCTAGAAATAAGGTGGTCTTCGAGCATGTCCAGCCTCATGCCCAGTCTCTCGCTCGTCAATGTTTTTTCCAAGTTCGCGATCTGTCTTCCTCCCTTCCTTTGGTCCCTGCTCCGCCCCAGCCTTCCCGCTCTCGCCTCTCGTCTTGGTCCCCTCCTCCTGATGGCTTTGTGAAGATCATCTTTGATGCTGCTGTTCGTCCTTCTGGGTGCTCGTCTGGTCCTGTGGTGCGCAGTTCAGATGGGCATGTGGCTCTGGCTTTAGGGTCTCTCCATCCCGGTATTGCTGATCCCTTTCTTGCGGAGCTCCTAGCAGCTAGGGACGCCATCGCCCTTGTAGTCTCCAAAGTGCTGTCTCGGGTCTTCATAGAAGGAGATTCAGAGGTGGTGATTCGTCAGCTTCGTCAAGGTGCTCTCTCTGACTCCTTTGGAGGTCCGGTGCTTCGGGATTGCTCCCTTCTCCTTTCTTCCGTCTCTATTTCTTTAGAGTTTAGGGCAGTTCCTCGGACTGCTAACAGTGTTGCCCATAGTGTGGCGCAGAAAGCACTGTTACTCTCCCCTTTAGAGTTTTGCGCCTTTGATTTTGTGGGTTGGCTTCTCTGGTGTATTGGGTTGGGCAGGGTCGGGGTAGATTGTATAGGTTTTCTCTTGTCATTTCTTGGAAAAAAAAAAAAAAAAAAAAAAAAAAAGACTAGATTCGCTTCTCTTTCTCTTTCTCTCCCAAACTCCATTTTTAGACAATAGTGACGTCCCCCAAAATGTTAATATCCAGGCGCGGTAGTTTTTCTTTGTGAAAATACTTACGCTTATCTGGCTAATTCATATAGGGTGTGGTTTGCTTCAAAGATTTTATAAATCCTGCTAATTAAAAATCTTGGGATTTATTAGGAATTTTGGGCATTATGAATAATGAATTTGAGGAAATCATTTGTTTGTCGAGCTATTTTTATCATGGATTTGATGATTTTTCATCTTGTCTCCAAATCCCAGACTATGAGGTGGGATTTATAAAATCGTGGGGCCCATGGATTTGGAGCAAAAAAAAATCAAATTCGTGGGGTCCACAGATTTATCCAAACATTTTTTGACAAAGCAAACAACAGATTGTGTGTAAATCCATAATGGTTGGTTTTTTGGTACCAAATCCATGATGCAAATCCTTGAAGGGGTCGTTTGGATTAGGAAATTTAATATGAGGGATTTGAGGCCAAATCTCTCATTTAAAAACCCAAGAATTTTAAACAAGTTATTTGGTCTAATTTCCTTGTTTGTTTAGACATGAGAAATTTGAAGGTAAATTGTGCAATGGCCAAATTACCTTCTCCTTCTTCCTCCCCATCCTTATGCGACCCCTTCTTTCTCTGGACAGATCTGAAATTCCATACAAAGGAAAACCCAAAAAACGGCCAGCATCATCGTATATGGTGTCAGGAGAGGGTCAAAAGTCACCCACCACCATCTAGTGTGGATGGGAATGGATAGCAGTAGTGGGGTTGGTGGGGCAGTCGTGGTTGCTTACGACAATATTACCCCAATCAATCCCATTCTTGCCGCCCATCATCATATTGGTATGGCTCCGGGAAGGCTCGGCAAGATTGAGGGAGACTAGGCGGGACTGGTAGATCATATTGGATCTGGGGCTGCTGTCTCTTTTTTTGGCCAACTTTGCTGACAGGAATGGTGAGCGGGAGGAAAGGGAGATGCAGCGGAAGGAGAATAAGTTGTCTTTCTTTGACCAAATTCGCCGGCGGGAATGGTGAGCGGGAGGAGAGGGATATGCAGCGGATTGAAGAAGAAAGGAGGAAACAGCCCGTAGAAGGGCAAAGTTTGGAAAGTAAGAAAAATAAATGAGTGATTGTGAAATAGATGATAGGCATCGACTATTTCTAAAACCTGCGTTTTAGGGTTTTTAAAATCTCTAATCTAGAAATTCCTCATCTATCCAAACAAGATATTGTTTTAAAATCCAGCCTTGTAAGGGATTGTTTTAAAATCCCTCATTCAAATTCCTGATCCAAATGGGACCATAAGATAATGAACGGACATGTGAGATTTCTACAGAATTAAGATATACATTTGAAGGAATGTGTGTCAAAAGAAAACAATAGCCTAAAGATGTGAGGTAATCTACCGTAAAGTTTGACTCTATATGTACATGGTTAATAGTGACCTCCCAATCGAGGTTCAAAAGGTACTTCAATTTATCCACAAGTAGGCCATGCATGTGACCATCATCAAAGTAATTCTTGATAATTAAAACCGCAGTACTAGAGCCGAGATTGACATCCACCTTTTCGTGTCCCTCATTCCATGTCTGGTTTAGCCCTTTAAGTGACCCTTTGAGTTATGCTCCCGTTATTGAACATTTACCAAGATTGTAAACAAAAGTCATGCTCCATCGAGCCAGGTGATTCAATAGAAGTCCACCACCAACAACAACTTTCCCTGAGGATGGTTGCATTAATCTGTCTGTGTGGATCTGATTCCCTCCTTCCAACGGAGGTTGCCGCACTATTTGTTTGTTGTAGACTACGTACTTTTGCTGCTTGTGTGGCCATCTTCTTGGCCCATTTCTCAGCTTGATTGACAATAATAAACCATACCTTAGTTCTATATATGTTTGGCTAGGTCAGAGGTTTCTTTGATGCCTAGTCTACAACATATCTCGGTTCAGATATTACTCTTAGTGTTTTTAGAAAAAAGGATTATGGATTTCTCTCTAATAATAAGTTTCCCTGAGGTAGCACAAAACCTTTCACGACACGAGATCACCACCTCAACATGCGCGAGATTAGCTTCCAAAAATAAAACAGTCATCATTAAAGAAATGGGATAAGACGTGACCTCCTACAAATAGTCTCATAGGGACCCAGTTTTGTTCTTAACTTCTTATAGGATGCAATGACTAAGTCTTTCCATACACAAGGTGAAAAGGTAAAGGGAGCGAGGGCATCCTTATTTCAGGCCTTGTGAAGGCCTAAAGCTTTCTATTTCCCCTCCATTGCAAAGCACTTGGAAGCTTGTTGTCGTTACACATGTCATAATGAGTCGGACACAATCATTCGGAAACATGCTTCAGTCGGTGTTTCTCCATAAATTTCTTGTTGATACGGTCGTACGCTTTAGTCGGGTCCACCTTAAGAAGCATGCTTTTTTCCTCCCTGGTTTCCTAGCCAGTGAGTGTATGTTTCCTGCAACGCAATGATATTATAAGTTATGTGTCTCTTTGGAATAAAGTTTGACTAGTTTGGGTGGACAAGGTGTGGTATCAGGAACTTTAGCTTTTTATCTAAGCTCTTTGTCACCACCTTATACACCACATTCATCTAGGTATGGGGAACCCTAGATTTGTATGCTAGGTATGATTGTATGAACCCAAGTACAGAGTTTATGAATTGATTATATTCGATTGAGGTTTGAATGATTGAATGACTTGAATCCTGATCAAATTCCTGTTGTTTCTGCTTTGACCTAGAATGAGAATATCTGCCTAGGTTGATAGAGTATCCTTAATGGAAGGTAGTGAATTGGTGACTTTAGTCGAGGAGCCAATTCGCTATTCTGTACCGAATTCAATTCGGTAGTGGAGGTTTGGTTCGTTGTGACGAATATAAATCATTCAAGTCCGATTATCTCAAACTCATGAATTTAGCTTATACAAAGCTATACGATAGCAACCAATAGGAGCCTCGACTTTGGGGATTAAAGCCACAAGACTTTCTTGAACACTCTGGATATTATCAGGATTCTTAAAGTAAGAACAAACGAAATTAAAAGACGGCATGGAACCAGTCTTTTCTCGAGCTTTTAGTCCATTCATGTCCCTGACTGTTGCTTTGATCTCAACATGGCTAGGCAACGCACTCAATAATGGCTAGAAAGCTTCCTTTGATGGTAGGGAAATCTGCTGAAATGGTGGGTCTAACATGGTTCTCCTTCATTGTGTAGAGCTTGACAAAGAAGTCCCTAGACATGGATTGAAGGAGGTCCGAGTCAGTAATTCATTCTCCCTTACCATATGTCAGGCCCATGATCTTGTTGTGCTTCATTATGCTAAGTGTGTTGGTGTGGAAGAATCACGTGATTTGGTCTCCGTGAACCACCTAGCTGGCTCTTGACTTCTTCCTCTAAATGAGCTCCTCTTTCCAATAGGGTATTTTCTGGCTCCTCTCTGGTCTCCTA